CACACACTCACACTCACACACACACACACACACACTCACACACTCACACACACACACACACGCACACACACACACACACACCTATACGCACACAGACTGCTGACGTATTACGGATTTGTGTCACTGCCAAAGAGGGTGTAAAATAGAACTAGAGATCTCGGCTGTGACATCACGAATGTCAAACTGGAGGGGCGCGCCGCCATTTCGGAGAGGAATAAAAGGTCAGTCGGTGCACAGCAAAACTTTTCAATCACGTATTTTATTTATGATTCTCTTCGATGTCTTTTGATGTCAATTTCTTGCTAATGAAATTTGCCTATCCCTAAAATGTACTCGTAGGGATTTTTGTGATTGTTTATCTTTAAATGAACCTGATAATCTTCAAATAATACAAACAGGGCCTTTTACACGGTGAGACCATATTGGTGAGTAAAATTCAGAAGGAAAAAAAAATGAATGAGATGGAGTTGATGATCACTTCTAAAAATAAAAAGCATAACTTGATTGAAATCTTTTGCTGTGCGTCGCCCAAACAGTATGTCTAGATTTAGCACCGCTGACCTCAACGAGGCGCTCGTATCGGCCCTCTGGAATCTAGAATGTGACTGGGAAGCTGCTAGAAGCTTCAGCTGCAACTCTAGCTCACATTCAAGGCTGTCGGAACGGAAACGAACCTCTGTTGATATTGTTGAGATGAGTAAATGTGAAGTAGTCAACTAAGCGTAATATTCTGTCTCATTAGCGGAACTGATGCCAAACAGCTTGTGCAACAGCAGCAACAGGGCTTCATGGAAGATGGGGTGTTGTGTAGCAAAACACCATGGCCAATCAAAATCAGTTTTAGAAAATATTGTGAACGTTTAAGATAAACCGGCTATTTATCTAAGTGTTGCACTTTAAAATGTTGTCAGTCTATAATTATCTGAATCCGATATTAAACAACGCTCCTTGTGTGTGCACACAAGATCCATACAATGATTGATTTACAGTATCCCAGCCTAAAATTAATAGCTCATTTTGAAACAGTAACGAATCAATAATAACCTACCCAGTCTTAACCCCCTTCATACTTTATGAAGACCTAGGCTTTTCATCAGTACAAGGAGAGTGTAGACAACCTGACATAAAAGCAATCCATTTTTTAAGTATGAAATTGTCCTTTTTCTTAACAAACTCAATTACTCATTATGTCTCCATCCGCCCCTCCCCCACCCCACCCGAGAAAAACAAACACTATCTCATATTATATCTCTCTATTTATTCGTAGCTCACATTTAAGTTCATCTATGTTTCCCACAATCGGTCATAAGGTGCGGTATTGTGTATGAGTGTATGTTATATGATTAAACAACAACAGCAAACAAAAAGAAAACTTAAAATAAAACTGAACTGAGCTTCAATGTCTATGAAGACCTAGGCGTTGCGAGGGACACGCAGCGTGACAGCGCAGTTTCTAATCCTCTCAAAAATGGCGAAAAAGCGAGCTGAGTGGGCCCCCACAAACATAGTGAGTTTACGTGGGTGACGTCACAGCTGCGACCTCTAATATTATTACAACCTCTTTGGTGTCAAGACAAGGAGGTTTTATTCTGTTAGGTGAATAGATCTGATCTTTCTTTCTTTAGGTCCTAGTGTGTTAATCTATCCATATACCTCTACCACTATTTAAATAATAACAATGATAATAATA